AGCGGGCAACGTGGCGCATCCTCGGCGCACCCTCCAACGCGGGGCGCCCACGCAGCGCGCACGGGGCGGCACGGGCGGCGCTGTGGCGCAAACCCAACGTAACGCGCAAGCGCAACACACCTCGCAAGCGCGGGGCGCACACGACTTGCCGTCGCTCGGACGTCCATTTCCCGTGCATGTTTCGGTTTCGTGCGTGTTTCTTTTTTTGCTCGATGGTCCAGGATGGTCCTCGATGGTTCTCGCCGAGAAACAATGCACACGTCCGAGCGATGCCAGGACGAGGCGGCACGAGAGGCAACGCGGCGAAAACCCAACGCGCACCGACAGCGCGGGGCGTCCACGGGGCGCCCACAAGGCAGCACGAGCGGCGCAGCGGCGCACACCGGAAGTACACCCCTGAGCGCGGGGCGCCCACGAGGCGGCAGGGGCGGCAGCGTGGCGAAGAGCAAATACAGCCTGCCGATTGCCAAAAAGAGCGAGCTCAAACAAAACAACACTTTTTTGGTCTGCGGGTCGGGAGCGGGCCCCTTCCGGTCAAGAGCTAAACGGGAAGCGGGTAGCCCTAATTGGGGAGACAGGGCGCGGGCGGGCGGGGCCTCAGGCGGCCGGAGGGCTCAGAAAACAGGCGGTGCCGAAGATCCGGAAAAAACAAACCAAAACAAACACCCTACGTAAGTGCAACAATTGTTTCGGGGAGAATGTGTTTCGTGTGCTCCATGCTCAACAGGGGCGATTCCGGTGCTTCAACATGGTGTTCCCGCTGCAGCATTGGCCTCGTTTGAGGATGGGCGCTTTGCTCCCGTCGTTTGGAATGGCACTCTCGCGCCGCCAGCGCGAGTCACATTTCTGAATCCAAGTTCTTCCTCGTTGTTGCCACCCCCTTCATTTCCCCTCCCCCGCCTTCCCCTGGTCCTCTTGCTCCTTACGCTTCTCCTGCTCCTGCTGCTGCTGCTCCTCCTCTTCCACCTCCTGCCCCCCCTCCTCCTCGAGAACGGGGGATTGTGGAGTCCCTGTGGTTCCAAAGCGCGCGCGCGAGGCTTTCGCGCTGAGTTCGCGACTGTTTCTGTGCAGACTCTGCTCTGTGTCGTCGTCCTCCTCCTCCTCCTCAGCCTCCTCCTCCTCCTCCTCCTCCTCCTCCTCCTCCCTCTCCCCCTCCTCCGACCTCTCTGCCTTTCTTTTTTCTCCTGGCGTCCCCCCCCCCCGCAAAAGATATACATATATATATATAGATATGTTGTTTTGTTTGTTCTTCCTCTGGGGGGGGGGGACGCCAGGAGAAAAAAAAAAAAAGGAATGCGACGTGGCCACATCTGCCCTCCCCTAGAAGGATTCCTATTGAACGCCCCCATAAGAAGGATTCACAGTGAAATCCTCGACAGAAGGGTTCCTATCGAAACCCTTCACTGAATGATTCCTATTGGAATCCTCCACATGTGGATTCCTACTCAAACCCTCCACTGCATGATTCCTACTGAAATGGTCGAATGGCAATGGCAATGGCAATGGTAATGGTAATGGTAATGACAGTGGTAATGGTAATGGTACTGATAATGGTTACGGTAATGATAGTGGTAACGGGGTAGCAAGGCAATGACAATGGCAATGGCAACGGTAATGGTAATGGTAATGGCAATGGCAATGGGAATGGCAATGACAATGGCAATGGCAATGGCAATGGTAATGGCCATGGCAATGGTAATGGTAATGGTAAGAGTAAAGGTAAAGGTAAAGGTAATGGTAACGGTAATGGCAATGGCAGTGGTAATGGTAATGGTAATGGTAATGGGAGTGGGAATTGGAACGGGAACGGGAATGGAAATGATAGTGGTAGTGGTAATGGTAATGGCACTGGTAATGGTCATGGTAATGGAAATGGTAATGGTATTGGGAATGGGGATGGGAATGATAATGGGAATTCTAATGGTAATGGCAACGGTAATGGTAATGGTGATGGTAATGGTAATGGTACTGGCAATGGTAATGGCGAATGGCGATGACAATGGCAATGGTAATGGTAATGGTAACGGTAATGGTAACGCGGTACCGATTGGCAATGGCAATGGCAATGACAATGACAATGACAACGGTAATGGTAATGGCAATGGCAATGGGATTGGCAATGGCAATGACAATGATAATGGCCATGGCAATGGCAACGGCAATGGTAAATGTAATGGTAATGGCAATGGTAAAGGGAATGGGAACGGGAATGGGAATCTGAATGGGAATGGGAATGGGAACGGGAACGGGAATGGAAATTGTAGTGGTAGTGGCAACGGAAATGGGAATGCTAAGGGTAAGGGTAAAGGTAAATGTAGAGGTAGAGGTAATGGTAATGGTAATGATAATGGTAATGGTAATAGTCATGGGAATGGAAATGGTACTGGCAATGGTAATGGTAGTGGCTAATGGCAATGGCAATGGCAATGCGAATGGTAATGACAGAGGTGATGGCATTGGTAATGGTAACGGTAACGATAGTGGAAACGGGGTAGCGACTGGCAATGGCAATGACAATGGCAATGGCAACGGTAGTGGTAATGGCAATGGCAATGGCAATGGGAATGGCAATGGCAATGGTAATGGCCATGGAGATGACAATGGCAATAGTAATGGCAATGTGAATGGGAATGGGAACGGGAATGGGAATGTGAATGGGAATGGGAACGGGAATGGAAACGGCAATGGTAGTGGTAACAGAACTGGGAATGGTACGGGTAAGGGTAAAGGTAAAGGTAAAGGTAGGGGTAAAGGTAATGGTAATGGCAATGGCAGTTGTAATGGTAATGGTAATGGTAATGGTTTTGGGAATGGGAATGTGAATCGGAATGGGAATGGTACTGGCAAAGGTAATGGTGGTGGCGAATGACAATGGCAATGGCAATGGTAATGGTAGTGGCGAATGGCAATGGTAATGGTAGTGGCGAATGGCAATGGCAATGGCAATGGTAATGGTAATGGCAATGACAGTGGTAATGGTAATGGTACTGGGAATGGTAATGGTGACGGTAACGGTAATGGTAATGGTAATGGCAATGGTAACGGGGTAGCGACTGGCAATGGAAATGGCAATGGCGATGGCGATGGCAATGGTAATGGCAATCGCAATCGGAACGGCAACGGCAACGGCAACGGCAATGGCCATGGCAATGGTAATGGTAATGGTAATGGTCATGGTTATGGTCATGGTAATGGTAATGGGAATGGTAATGGGAATGGGAATCGTAGTGGCAATTGGAACGGGAACGGGAATGGAAATGGTAGTGGTAGTGATAATGGCAATGGTAATGGTAATGATAATGGAAATGGTACTGGTAACGGTAATGGTAATGGCAATGGTGATGGGGATGGGAATTGTAATGGTGATGGCAGCGGTAATGGTCATGGTCATGGTAATGGTAATGGTAATGGTAATGGTAATGGCAATGGTGTTGGTAATGCTAATGGTAATGACAATGGTAATGGTAGTGGCTAATGGTAATGGTAATGGTAATGGTAATGGTCATGGTAACGGTAATGGTAACGGGGTGGCGACTGGCAATGGCAATACAATGGCAATGGCAACGGCACTGGCAATGGCAATGGCAATGGGAATGGCAATGACAATGGCAATTCTAATGGTCATGGTAATGGTAATGGTAAAGGTAAATGTAAAGATAAAGGTAAAGGTAATGGTAATGGTACTGGTAATGGGAATGGGAATGGGAATGGTAATGGTATTGGGAATGGGAATGGAATGGGAATGGGAGTGGGAGACATTGGAAGAGAGAGAGAGAGAGAAAGCGAGAGAGGAAATGTCAGAATATTGATGAGGAGCAACGTGAAAGATCGTAAAACATCGTCTGAAACCCACAGGGACTCCATAATCCCCCGGCCTCTCCTCCTCCTCCTCCTCCTCCTCGTCCTGGTTCATCCTATTCTTTCGCCACCTAGTCCTCCACTGTACAAAGCTCCCATTCCAGATTGCGCATAACACGTTGGGGTCCTGTTGAGGGTCCTAGGTCCACATTGCCACCCGTCGGCGGATAGGAACACCATCTTGCGCAGTGGGAAGGGCGGGAGGGGTAGGACGTCAGAGAAGGCGCGAGTGTACCTAGCTTGCCCCCCCCCACCCAACCGCGTCGGGTTCGAGGAGGGGTGATCCCTCCTCGAACTTCCTCCTCCTCCTCCTCCTCCTCCTGCTCCTCCTTTCCCTTCCATCCCTCCCCCCTCCCCCTCCCTCTCCCCCTCCCCTCCGCCCCCCCCCCCTCCTCCCCGAGCGCCAGCAAGCCCGGAACCCGAGCCCTGAGCTCGCGGCCAGCCCGCGCGCCTTCTGACGCCCCCCCCCCCCAAGAGCCCCCGCCCCCCACCCTTCCCTCGACCCGCCCCCTCCCTTACCACGAGGACGTCCTTCTGAAGGTTCCGCGACCGCTAGTGAGGGGCAGCGATAGGGGGGGACTGGCATAAGGGGGGATGCATCGACCTGGAATCGGCGAGACACCGCCGATAGATCGGCGGTCGGCCTCCGATAGTGAATCCGCACCTTCCTGGGCAGGTTGGGGCTGCTGCGCCCCTATCGGCGATCAATGGGCGCTTGGGGGTCGATGCACCCCCCCCTATGCCTACCCCCCCCCCATATCGTTGCCCCTGCGCTCAGACACCCGTCGGCGGATAAAACAACATCGGCGCAGTGGGAAAAGGGCGGGAGGGGTAGGACGCCAGATATGGGGCGAGCGCACCTCGCCTGCCCCCTCCCCTCGCCCCCCTCCCCCCCGTTGTGGCATCCACCCCGAGGCCCCAGGTCTCGGGGAGCACCGGTGGGCCCTGAGATCATGGTGTCGTATCTATGTCCTGGTCGAGGCCTGCCGCAGAACGATGGCGTCTGCTGGGGCAACGGTCGTGGCCTATCATGCTGTCGAATGTTAGCGATGCTGCATCTCTGGGCAAGCGCGACTCTCCGGGGAAACGAAACGGTGACGGATACGTGCCCTCACGGAGAGCGAAGGGGAGAGGAGCTGCTCCTGTGTGAGACACCCCTTGCCATCGAGGTCGAAAAGGAGGAAGAGAAAGCCAGACTTGTCGCGGCGACTGGTGCCCGCGGAAACCAGCGTCATGATCACCAACAAATCGTTGATCTTGACCCTGCCGCTGCTGTTCCGGTCAGTCTTAGATTACTGGTGAACGATCAAATGAAATTTCCAGACATGCGAACGCATGGCGGGCATTACGAGAGTCGAACATCCCTGCACCGATCCACCACATCTTCCCGATGCGACGAACATGGACTCTCGAACGGGCCGCCGAACGCAGATTCTGACGCTCGGAATGCGGCATGATGCTACCACTAAGGAGGCTGCATGGCTGAAAATGTTTCCGAGAAGCTCCGTCTCGTATCCCTGTATGGTCCGCACATTCTCAACGATCTTGAGGAACGAATCGCGCTCAATGTCCGTCAAGACTTCTGGACTGTCCCAGCGCCTGCGCACCGTCCACTCCTGCAGGGATGTCTTTAGATCTACAAGGAACTTCAGGGTGAGCTTCCGCTGAAATCGTGTGATTGCACGCCGCCGATTGGTCTCGCCCGTGTTCATGGCCAGGTAGGTCACAAACCTGTCAATGTGCCCAGAAGTTCGCAGCAAACTGCAATTGTACTCTCGCAGGGCAGCCCGTATTCTGTCGATCCGGGCGACGACGAGCATTCCAGTAAAATCCTGGATCGAACACGCGATCTCTCCCTCTGGCAACGCCTGCTTAAAAAAGACACGGGCAATGCGTGGGTTGAACCGCAGGTTCATGAACTCGAGGAGATCCTGGAAATTCTGGAAAGACATCATACCATCCTTGTTGTCCGAGAACTTCCGGAAAGCGGTCTCAGCGCCACCGCACTTCTGCGCACACAATACTTTCATCGCGTTCCAGAAGGAGCGCGAATGCTCCTTTGGATTCTTACGAATCAGGAGGCTAACATGGTTGATGTCCAGGGTGGGTCCAGAAGCATCCAGGGCACCCTTCGCAGTCTTCCTCCTCCCATCGAGAGTGGAGTCCAAGCCCTTGCTAGAGTCAAAGCCCTTGCTGGTGTCCAAGCCCTTGCTGGATGCTGCCACTGCCTCTGTAAAGTCAGTCGTATCTAAACGAGCAGTCTTTCTCTTCCCCTCGACAATGGATTCCTTGGACATCGGAGAGGCCTCTGCTTGGCTCTAACAGACAATGCAAGTCTATTCTGCCTCTGGACCGCGGCCCAAAAATATACACCGCCAGTACTCCCCCCCTCCTTCTCCTAGGGACAGAAGTACTGGTGGAGTACAGTTCAGACCTTGGACTTGGTTCCATGGAGCCGAGCCTCAAATAGCCCGAACGCGCGAGTCTAGCCTCTCCTTCCTTTGAGCCAGCGCCAAAGGAGGAACTGGTCGTGATGCATGGGCAAACGTAGGGCAGCTATGATCGCACGACGCGAAGCGCGAGGCTCGAATCATTTCGCACTTCCCCACCGTACCCGCGGGGGGAGAGGAGCAGGTCGAGGACGACGACGAGGAGTCCCGAGCCGCGAAGAGCTCCGCGGCACTGTGGCGGCGATGGCGACGCATGAGACGAAGCCACGACGAGGACAACATCGGGTGTGGACACATTGAGGACCTCTGAGATCCGGAGGTTCTGGAGGATGTCTCGGGCACCGCGGCCTCCTCAGAGCGTTCCGGAACGCTCCGAGAGCGTTCGGAACGCTCCGGAGCGGGCTCGTCCTCGTCCTAGCCCCGTCTGAGGGACCCGCCTGAGGGACCAGCCCATCCAAGATCCCTTCTGGGCCCCATTCCAATCGTCCTGCGAGCCAAGCCTGGGCGCGGCGCAGAGAGCCCCCCCCGAGGGACAACAGAAATGACGAAGACGAAGAGAGGGAGGAGGAGGACCTACCCCTCCTCACTCCTGCCCCATCCCAGGGACCACCACAAAAACGTATGAGATCCAATCGAAGCCCTCCGAATACCGCGGAATGCAAACGAAAACTGATGGGATCCTCGAATCTCCTCCTCCTCCTCCTCCTCCTCCCCCCGTTCATCCTGGAGCAACAGCAGGAGGACTACCGAACGACAATGACGATGGCCATTGCGACAACTACGAACGGCGACGCTTGACGACGACGACGACGACGAGGACGACACTGTCAACGACGACGACGACGACGAAGACGGCGACTACGACGTTGGCAAAGACGACGTTGCCGACGACGTTCACGACGATGACGACCACGTGCACGACGACGACGCTGACGACGACCGGCGGCCGTGACGCGGACTACGTCGACGACGGCGAAGGCGAAGACGACGACATTGATGACATTGATGACATTGACGACAGCGACGACAGAAACGCCGACGACGACGACGAGGACCTCTGACGACGGAACGCTGACGGCGGCGACCGGCGACGTCGCAAACGCGCGGCGCGCCCTCGCCCGCTGGGCCCCACGGCGGTCATGCCGCAACGCCCGCGCCCAGCGGCGGCGGGCCTCCCCCTCCGGCCGCCGCAGGGCACACCGCCGTCCTCGCCGCCGTCGTCGTCCACGTCGTCGCCGGCGCCGCCGCCATCGACATCGTCGTCGTCGTCGTCGTCGTCGTCGTCGTCGTCGTCGTCGTATGTCGTCGTCGAGGTCTCAGCCGCCGCTGTTGCCGCCAACAGCCGTTGTCAGCGCCGCTGAGAGGGGGGGTACCTTCGCCGCCGCCGTCGCCAGTGCCCCCGCCGACGTCCCCGCCGACGTCGCCGTCGACGTCGTCGCCAAAGTGAACACTGGCGTCGTCGTCGTCGACTGCGAGTCGCCGTCGTCCCAATTACTCCTGCTTTTTTTTTCCCGCGGCAATTTCCAGACTGGATCGATCTGTGATGGCCCACGGGCCCGAAACCGGACGGAACCGCCCGAGAAGTTGCAGCGCCAGGGCACCAGCTGAGATCCTGTGCGGCGCCGCAGGTGATAGAGGGATGCCCAGAAGTCCACCGCGTCGAAGGTGAAGGGTGGTGACAGCAAGGGGGCTAGGGGAGGACAAGAAGGGGGGAGAGGGAGGAAGAAGCACAGCTCATTCGCCAGGACGCGGCATCGCAGAAGGCGCCATGAAAGCGCTGAGAACTACGTAAACGCTCTAAAACAGGAGCGGGAGGAGGGGCCCGGCGCCAGTCCAAAAAGTCCGCGCGAAACTCGGAAAAAATGCCCCCCTCGTGGATCCTGGGTCAATCTAAACCCTGGTCAATCAGGATCCTGCGCCCTAATCTGGGTCAATGCAACCCTGGCTCTGTCTACAGGATCCTGCAAGATCCGGCGCTCTGGCTGACCCCCGTTTGCATTAAGTTGGGCCTGCTGTCCCTCTACAGGAGGAGTATTCAAAAAAAGTAAGTACATAATGTTTTCTGCAATTTTTCATGTTTTCGGAACGCGGATTAGTAGTAGTAAAAAAAGTTTGTTTCAACTCTGCCGCATTTTTCCTCCAAAATCCGCCTGTAGGGGGACGTGCCCGGCCTAACGTTTGCACCGACCCCCGTCCCGAGGCTCCCCGACACCCCTGCCCTGGTGCTGGTGCCCGGGGACACCTCGTGCAGGACGACGCTTCTCAAACCGCTGGGTGAGAGGCTACGGTCAACCTGTACTACAGAAGGGCGAACAACAAGAATGCAAGAGCCTTGGAAGGTGATGTCGATACTCTACGGGCAGAGCGCTGCCAGCGTGGGCAGAAGGGGAAGGATGCGAGGGCAACCTTGGAAAATTGCGCATCCTTACTATGCGGGCTGACTGTACCACGTGCCTTCGGAAGAGGAGGCAGCCGCAGCCTTTGCTACCGCTCCCCTCGCCGGAACCCTCTGCGAAAGGGCAGTCCTCCTCGCGACGTCGTCGTGGGCGGCAATGCCCTGGCACAAGACGCGGCTTGCCTTGAAGCCACGGCCGGTCCAAACCAGGTGCTCGGAGGTGGACGAGGCCGATGGCCCGCAAGGTGCCTGGCTCGCTGCTCGTGCCATCCACTCTGGGAGGCCTGGTCACAGCTGGGTGCGTCGCCACGCCGTAGTGGTGCATTCGTCTTGGGACACCGCGCCAACAGCAAGCTCCCAAGGTGGCCCGAGACTGTCCGCTACGAGAGGAGCCGACGGTCCCTCTCGTCCGCTATGCAATCTGCGCACAGGGAAAACATGCACCTGCACGCCGAAGTCTGCTCACGAGCCCAACATGAATGGGGGGTGAGAGAGAGAGGAAGAGGAGGGAGAGGCAGGACCAGGCAGAAGAATGAGGGATACGTAGCAGGGAGGAAGTATGCAGCGGGAGGAGGGAGGGAGCATGGGGGGAGGAGAGTGAGGAGGGGGAGGGAGAGGAGCAGGAAGGAGGGAGGGGGGAGGCGGAGACAGGAGGAAAGGGGAAGGAGGGAGGACGGGAGGGACGAGAAGGAGCGAGGAATAGAGAAGTCCTCCCTCCCGCCCGTCCCTCAGGGCGGCCGCACAGGCCACCGTCGCGCGCCTCCTCCCCCTGGGATGCGCGACGGGATCCCCAATGCTCCTCCTCGGCCTCGCGGCGCCTCGTCCTCGATCCTCCTCACGCTCCCCCTTTGCACCGCCCACTGTCCTCCTCCAGGAGGGGGAGTGCAGGGAGGAGGGAGGAGGGAGGGTGGGCTCCCGTGCGTCTGCGGCCGTGTGCTGAGGGCCCTGCGGAGCCTCCAGTTGTCTCGTCCTCTCCCAGCCTCCGACCGCCTCCCAAAGTCCTCGTCGCCCTCCCTCCCCGGAGCTGCCTCTTTCGGGCCCTGCCGCGGGAGGGGCTGGCGGCCGTGAGCCATCCTGACAGCGAGCGGCGGGGAAGGAACAAGACTGCTGCCAAGAGAGCGAGGCCGCGAGGAAAAGAGAGCGAGTTCGCGAGCAAGGACGAGGAAGAGAAAACACGCTCGCGAGGAAGCAAGAGGGAGAGGAGGTTGGAGGCCACTCGCGAGAAAGAGGAAGATGTGGGATTGCGAGCTGTCGCTGGAACTGCATCGAATTGGAAGGGGGGGGACGGCAAGCGCGGACCGGCAATTGGAGGCTGAGCGGAGAATTTGGCGAGAGTCACGCCGCCCGACCCCCAGGGGCGCAGGAAGGCGACGACGGTTGCGCCCGTGGCAGCACCAAGGTAGAGGGCGCAGGAGCAAACAAAAGCATCAGAGACGATGCCATGAGAAGCGGTACAGGCAAAAATGGAGGGAGGAACGATGAAGCCGGAAGTTAAAGGGAGACGGGAAGCGGTATGAAGAGAAACATTATCAGGAGCAACAAGAACTCGTCCGTGCAAAACGAAAAGCACATCAACATGAGGACTGGGGGAACAACAATGTTTTGCGCCTGTTCCGCAACTATTGCGCTAGGGTCACTGCGCCCCATGGCTTCAGCTTGGGGGCGTATGAACATGCAGAGATCATCCTGCGATCACTGTCCAATTCTGCCCCGCGATAAGAGGAGGGAAGTACAGGTAAGAGCACGAGCACAAAGGCTTTGACGCAAGATGGCCTGGGGGCCTTACGAAGTGGCTGACGCGGGCCGCCGACGCGGTACACCAATTCGGAAAGCATACGCTTGCGCACGACCTCACGCGCCAGTGCGCAGTCGACGGACCCCTCCATGTCCAGACCCCCGACGCTGTGCCTTGCTCACAGCGTTGATCCCAAGAGGCCTGGAACCCTCCTCCAGGACTGCCTTTAATCGCTTTGCCTGACAGCCCCACCCAGGGCCCCGTGAGGGCCCACAGGGGCCAAACATTGCAGAACATATGTGAACCCTACCCCCACCCCCCACGATTTCTAAGCGGGGGTGGGGGTTCGCTCCGCTCGGGACCTCCCGAACGAAATGAACTCCCACCCCCCCTGAGAAATCGTGGGTGGTGAGGGTAGGGTTCACATGTGGCCACCGCACCTAACGCATCCCGTTGCAATTCGTGTCACGACGCGAGGGTGTCTGGGTTCGTGGCTCACGCGGCGAGTTTCAGTGGGACCAGCACGGCGGGACAAGCACAGGGGGGGGGGCGGGGACACATCGAGCTTGACTCGACGATAGATCGGCGATAGGCGCACGATGGCGACCCCGCATGTTCCTGGGCGGATGGGGCAATCTAGCCCCACTCGGCGATCAATGGGCGATTGGGGGCAAATACATGCCCGCCTGAGCCTATCCCTCACAACTGTGGCCCCTGATCCCATGCTTCGGGCCATAACTTGGGCCTCAGGCGGCCCTTCGGGACGATTCTGGTGCACCCAGACCGCTCTCGGCGAGGCGCAGCTGATGATAACCATCCCTGGCCCCGAAGCCCTACGACAATTCCGGGAAACCTTCCGAAACGTTGCACCCCTCCCTGAGCCCATCCCCCTCGACGTTGCCCCTGAGAGTCTGCATCCAGCCTTGCCGCGCCGCTCAGAACGGCTGCCAGCGGGCGGCCCCAGCTGGCACGGTGCGGCCCAGCGGCGCCCCCGAGGATCGGCGGTGGAGAAACCTCCCTTTAGTAAACCTCCCCTTAGTGAAAATGGCCTGGGACCGAAACCGACGGACCTGGACCCGCAAAAATGACGGCCGCGACGCCCCCTCGCGAAGCGAAAACGACCAATTCCTTAATGGACGTGTCAGGGCAGGAGGTCTGTCCACCCCCGAGAGGACCGCCAAGGCACCACAGCTGGGCCCTCGGCGCTCCAGCCACTCGGCGTCCGGAGCGCCGAGGGCCCCAGGCACCGCCGGGCCCACGAGCCTGGGCACGCCAGGGGCCACGCCCAGGGGCCCGAGGCGGCCGGGCATCCCCGACGTCCTGGGACACCCGCGGGCGGTGCACGTGGGCGTGTCTTGGCCCCCCAGGGTCTGGCCCGGGGGGGTGGTCGTGGACGACTCCCCGCCTCGCAAGGGGCCGCGCCAGGGGCCGCGCTCCGGCGACCTCCGAGACGGAGCCCCGCGGCCGCCCTCCGCGCACCGCGTGCGACGTCGCCGCGCACGCGCGCGCGCGCGTCCGCCTCGCTGCCCTCTCAGCGCCGCGGCCCCCGCGCCCGGCTGTGTTCGCACGCGCGGTGGGAGGTAGCGGGCGGCAGCTCGTGCGGGGGGGCGTCAGCTGACCACCTCACCGATCCTTGGCCCAGAATGCGAGGCGGGGCTTCGTCCGCAACCGCCGCCTGGGGAAGTCGAACTCCGGGGGCCTCGGCAGGCGGTGGACGTCAGACCCGCCTGCCCCCCGCCCCCCGGGGCCCGCACGCACCCACCAGGCGGTGGTGTTGGATACAACCCCGCTTCGGGCAGGGAGGGGGGGAGGGGGAGCCTCCCCGAGGGAGGAGGGGGAAGGAGGAGGAGGAGGAGGAGGAGGAGGAGGAGGAGGAGGAGGAGGAGGATGAGGACCTCCTCATCCTCCCTTGTCCCCCGTCCTACATATGGTACATCTGGTATTAGTGGAGGAAACCTTGCCCATCAAGAAAGGTGGCGATAGGGCCACTGCCCTGGGGCCTCTCCAGGGGCGCGCTCCTGGAACGACCTCGAGGCGCGGCGACATGGCGAGGCCTGTGGTATCGGTCGGAGTGAAGGGGGCCGAGCGGTCTTACGCTGTCCCCAAGTGCGTGGCTGAACTGGGTTCCCGCGGTGCGGACTCTTGCTGTCGCCGTCCCACCCGCGTCGTCGTCCCATCCGCGACCCAACCGCGACTCAGCTCGCGACCCATCCCGCGATCCCCACCCCGCGACCCCCACCCCGCGACCCACCCCGCGACCCCCACCCCGCGACCCACCCCGCGACTCACCCGCGACCCACCCCGAGCAGGAGGAGGAGCAGGAGCAGGAAGAGGAAGAGAAATATGAGGAGGACGAGAAGGAGGAGGAGGATGAGGAGGAGGAAGAGAAGGAGGACGACGTCGAGAATGACGAGGAGGACGATGTCGAGAATAAAGAAAAATAGAAAAAGGAAGCGAGAAGGAAGTTGAGCAAACGGAAACAAGCGAGGCGGCCGAGGATCAGGCGAAGCCAGGAAATCCGCCGCCTCGACGGCCGCGCCCGCCCCCTCACTCTGATCCGCAGCTAGTATATTTGTCCTACCCTGAGGCTGGGGTCGGAGTGCAGTCAAAATCGTTTGCAATGATGCACGATGTGGATGCAAGCCCTTGGACGCTCATGTCGAAGCTTCTCGAATGGGGCTGCCCATCGAGAGTGGCAAAAAGATGCACCGAAGAGGCAAGGATGCAAGGGTACCCTTGGGAAGGTCACCCATCCTTACTATTGATTTCGACTGTCGCAGGTCAGCCGACGCCCCACGAAACTCAGGCCCTTTTGGGCGCGGGCGCGCGCGGGGACCTGGCACGGGCGCACGAGCCCTTTCGGGCGCCGGCGCGAGCCTGGTGCTGAGGGGGCGCTGAGCAAGAGGGTATGAGCAGGAGTCTAACCATGTGACGAAGTCGAGCGGCAGGATCGAAGCCGAACTCATGCTCCTGAGTTGAGACTGCTTGCGTCAGAGAACTTCCTCTGCTTTGCTTCGGACCTCTGGTCAGAGCCCACGAGAAATACGTCAACGAGACTCAGCTAGGTTGGGATCGAACGGCTAGATCGTAACACCGAATGTTGCACACATGATGCCGATACTGTAGCACGTCTAAACGATATCCAGTCACGGATTGCCCGTGGAATGCAACAGGGGGCCCAACAATCTCACAAACGATATTCGTTTCGAAATGCTAGCTCGATCACGAATACGGTCTTCCGAATGCGTCGTAGTTTTCGCATGGTGCTGTAACAACGCTCGGACTTCCATGACGCACGAGACGGAGATGCAGGAGTCTCCGAGACAACAAGAAATACAACGTCTCTCGCTCACATGGGCTCATAGCACCATACCACCGTGTAGCCAGCACAGAAAACTGCCAACACTCCTGCCACCTATGCTCGTGATGATGACAATATTCTAGGTCACAAGTGTAGCAATTACGTAAAACATGCTGTGATCTCGGTAAGTGGGACGTTATGTAATCTGAGCGCGGCGCGGATGAGAGTTGGTGGGACGCCTCGGGCGATGAAAACATTTGCTGACGCGTCAATCTGATTCTGGGGTCTTGCTGAGGTGCTCGTGGGGCCCCTTTTCAGCCATGTCGGGGCCCTCTTGAACTTCTTTCAGCATTCGGGACACTCCTGGGGGCGTTTTGGGGACAAGCTCGACAAAGTCTGTCAGGCTCGGTCTAGGACTGGCCGTTTCGTCTCGGAGGCCAATCCGAGACTGACCAGCGCATTCAACACATGAAGGCGTCTCGAGAACGTTGGCCTCTCGGTGGTACGCACGCCTTGGAGACTCTGGGGCCACTCTGGAGCCATCCTGTGGGTGGGGGGGCCTGCCGGTAAAAAGGAAAGAACCTATCATCAGACTTTGAACGTTGAATCGCACATGCGCAAGAGCTTCAGAGCGCTCCAGGAAGTGACCAATGGCTGTAGGAGGCTCACACCACAAAAAACGCCCAGCAATATCCTGGCGAATAACCCAACCCAATGTAAACGCATGGTGAATATTCGCATGGAGAGCTGTGCCGACATGGGCGGGTTAGCGCCATGCGAACGCAGCCACTGGGGCCGTGTGGAGCTGCATGTGAGGCCACTAAACGTGTGAGGGTGTGTCAGATTGGCGGGGGGCGCGCCATGCGGACGCAACCACCAGGGCCTTTGGTGGAGCATTCTCTGGGGCCACGAAATGTGTGAGGGGTGTGCCGATATTGGGTGGGGGCATGCGGACGCAGCCACTGGGACGCTTGGTGGAGCTTCCTATGAGGCCACGAAGCGTGTGAGGGGTGTGCCGACGTGGGTGGGTTGGCGCCATGAGGCCTTGAGTGTAGCTTTCTTTGGGGCCACGGAGCGCGTGAAGGATATGCAGACATGGTAGGAGTGGCGCCATGCGAACGCAGCAACTGGGGCCTTGGGTGCAGCTCCCTACGGGGCCACGAAACGTGTGAGGGGTGTGCCGAAAGGGCGAGGCGACGCCATGCGGACGCAGTCACTGGGGCCTTGGGTGGAGCTCTGTATGGGGCCGCGAAACGTGCGAGGGGCGTACCGAAATTATTGTGATAATGATGACGGTGGTGGCGATGATGATGATGATGATGATGATGATGACGACGACGACGATGATGATGATGCTGATGATGCTGATGTTGATGCTGATGCTGATGTTGCTGATGATAATGGTGATGGAGATAGTGATGGTGACGATGACGATGATGATGATGATGCTGATGATGGTGATGCTGATGCTGGAACTGATGATGATGATGATGGAAATGATGATGATGCTGATGGTGGTGGCGCTGGTGATGCTGATGGTGCTGATGCTGATGATGGTAATGATACTGATGTTAGTGATGAGGATGGTGGTGATGCTGGTGAGGTCAATGATGATGACGACGATGACGATGATGTTCATGGTGGATATGATGATAATGGAAGAAGACGATGGTGGTGGTAATGAGGACTATGGCGATGACGATGAAGATGATGATGATTATGATGCTCAGCGTGATGATGATGATGATGATGATGCTGATGATTATGCTGATGATGTTGCTGGTGATGCTGATGATGAGTATGGTTGAGATGATGGTGATGCCAGCGGACGATGGCGGTGATGCTGATGACGATGACGACGGTGCTGCTGATGATGCTGATGATGATGCGGATGGTACTACTGATGTTGATGTTGTTGATGCTGATGATGATAATGATGATGGTGACGGTGCTGCTGATGAGGGCGATTACGGTGCTTGCGGTGATGATGATGATGATGATGATGCTGAGGATGATGATGATGGTTGTGTTGACACCGACGATAAAACTGACGAAGAATATGCTTATGTTGATGACGTTCAACATGCTGATGATGATGGTGGTAAGGATGATAGCGATGGTCATGATTATGATGATGGCATGTATTACTGATTATGAAGGTTGACGGTAATGCTGATGCCGTTGACGACAGTTCTGCTGATGATGACGGCGATGCGGATGGTACTACTGATGATGCTGATGCTGATGATGATGCGGATGGGGAAGCTGCTGGTGATGATGGTAATGATGATGATGATGATGATGCTGATGCGGATGATGATGATGGTGATGATGATGACGGTGCTGACGGTGATGGCGATTACGGTGATTGTGGTGATGACGGTGGTTGTGATGGCATCGACGATGAAACGGGCGATGCAACAACCGATGATGATGCTGATCATGCTGATGATGGTGGTGATGACGCGGAGATGGTAATGATTATGAGGATTGCACGTATTGTTATTCGTAGCATGATGATGATGCTGCTGATGCTGATGATGATGATGATGATGAAAGCGACGATGATGATGCTGAAGATGATGGTGACGATGATGATGGTGGTAGGAAGAGGGAACGATGAAGACGACGAGGACGCGGGGGGACGCGTGAGGAGAATGAGGGGAGGAAGGAGGAGGGGGGGTGAGGAGACGAGAGAAGGAGATGCGCGGCGCTGCGGATTCAACGCGGGGACCTTACACAAAGGAGGGTTGGTAACCACATGTACAAGACACACGGGCTGGTGAGCATTACCACTTACATAACAACTGGAAGCAGCCTGGCCCACATAGCGGAGAAGCGTGGACGGAGGACGACGGACGCGGAGGGATGTGTGCAGTGGCTTCAAACTCTGTGGTGGGTCTTGTGGACAAACTAACATTGAATGATTCTGATGGACATACCTATACATACATACATACATACATACATACATACATACATATATATACATACACACATACAAGATGACCCTCAATGGCAAGTAGACGCAGCCAACTACGGACACGGTATCATGTGAAGAGTCTGAACACTATGCGGGTGTTCTGACAGAGCAGAGAACCCGAGAAAAGCTTCGAACGAAGACGGGTCACAGACAAAGAAGGAGAGCGGCCGAGACTACGGGAAATGGCGGTCATATCAGACGTCACTCACATCGCCTGGTGCTCAGGAGACCCTAGAAACCAGATGAGCCGCTTGTACCTGACGCGTCGCGGAGGGGAGATCCTTTCACAACCAATCCCAATCACAAGACCCCTCCTGGGGCGCAGCTTCTAGAGCCGCGTCCAGCCGCGGCGGGGAGAACCCCTGGAAAAGCCCCCCCCCCTCCAGCTCTGACCACGACGGGGGGGGGATGAGGCTTAGAGCCCCCCGGCAAGGGGAGGGCGATGAGGGAGAGGGGAGGAGGGTAGTGAGGAGACGGAGGGGGAGGAGGGGGGGGGGGAGAAGGAGGAGAGGACGGCGGAGGAGGAAGCCGAAGGAAGGACCGCGACGGAGAAGGAGGGGAGCGGGAAGCAGGAGGAGGTCGAGGAGCAGGAGGGCGGGGGGAGAGGAGGGGAAGGAGGGCGAAGAGCAAGAGGGAGGAGGGGGAAGGGGCGGGGAGGAAGGGGGAGAGGCGACGAAAGGGAGGGGACGTCAAATGCCATTCCCCTTCCTCGCTCAGGGGAAGAGGAGAAGAGGGGGTAGGACTGGTCAGCACCTGACCCCTGTCAGGCTCAGCACTGACCACGAGAGGCACCGAGAGCCCTCACCCCCTGGAGGAGAAGGAGGAGGAGGAGGAGGAGAAGGGGAGGGAGAGATGGAGAGGGCGGACGGGGGGGGGGGGGGCGAGGAGGGGGAGAGAAGACGACGAGGAGGAGAGGAGGGGGAGGATGAGGAGGGGAAGGGGAGGAGCAGGAAGAGGAGGAGCGAAGGAGCACAGAAGGGGATGAGAGGAGGAAAGGGTAAGTAAAGGATCTGAGAAGAGGAAGCGAGGGCGCAAGGGAGGAAGGAAGAAATGTGATGTACATGAGAAGCAGAGAAGGAGAGGAAAGATGACGGGAAGATGACGGGTTTGGATTTCTGGATGGGCTGGCGCGGAAACGAGAGGTGGCAAGAACTGTGTTGGGGGCTCCAAGAAAAGAAAGCGAACGCAAACCGCACGATCATTGCCGGCCGTCCTCATCCCGCGCACGGGTCTTCACTTGATGCTTGCCTCTGCAATCGAGATGAGGGATGCATGTTGATGAGGCTCAGCTTGGAGAGAGGAAGCGTGCCGAAGACACTGCGCGGGAGGCGTCATTGCCTTCGTGTGATCGTCTTCTCCCAGCAATCCTCCGAGGGCAAACCCAGCACGCCCAAGGTGCTCAACGTAGAAATTCTGATATTGGGTGCCCTGCTGTGTGTGCTCATGGGCAACTTTCAATGCCAACGACCCGAACTTTGTCCAATTCTTCCCTTCACCCCGAACGTGGAAACGAAGACCGCTGTGATCCACCGACCCCCGCTCGCCAGAGGTGACAAGGCGCTTGAGGTCTTTGCTGCTCTCCCATGCTCCCCCCGCCCAAGAAGTTCAAACTCTAGGTCGAGGAGCGGATGGGGAGCAATAGGAACTCACCGACCCACCTTCTTGAAGACCGTCCGCGATGTGTTCTCTGGGTAGGTGCCCAAGACAGCATCCACACTCGCTCACATCCGCCCCAGCAAGATGAACAAGAGTCAATCCACTCAGCCATGCCCCACAACGTCCTGCAGACGGGCGTCGAGGGAAAAAACTTGAGAAAACATGTGCGTAAATGGTCTCAGCGTGTTTGTTGCTTCTCGCCCGTCGCGCCTCCCGATGGGTTCCGAGAAGCTCCAGTGCTGCCCAACGTTTTCCAAGAGACGCTAGGGCAGGCCCAAGGCGCAAACATCCCAGGACGGGACCAAGAATCGGGGGCGCGCAAACATGGACTAGCGATCCATGGATTTGGCGCGCGGTCGCCAAATTCATGGATCGGGGGATGTGCCCCCCCCAAACATGCGGCCGGTGCAACCTCGTTCGGCGGCGGAAATCGGCGATTTCCCATGGAAACGGGACCCGTCGATAATCCACGCCCCCTTGATCCATGTTTACGATCGCCTGAAAGAAGGCCCAAGATGGTCTCAAGCGAAGCCCGAATCGGCTCAAAACGGCCCCTCAACGGCCTGAAGACGAGCACGGAACGGAGCCGGGAACAACTCGAAATTGTCTCAAGACGGGTGGCTTCCCCCGCCTGCCGTGACACAAAATGCCTCCACACCGCTCTTGGATTCTTAGCCGACAAGCCAAAAAACGATCCAACAAACAATCCTGAGGGTGTCCCTCCATCGATGGAACATACCATAAACCCCCACTGTTCCTGATGAGAGGGAGGAGGCGGGAGGTCGTCGGGGGTTTGCGAGGTTCGAGAACACCTGTGTAAAGCCCGTCGCGGGCGCTGATCTTTCAACACACAAAAAAAGAGCTCGCCGCAGGCGCCGCGACCTTTTTGTCGCAGCAAGGCGGGTGGGCCGCGGAGCCGCGGGTGATCTTCTGCGGGTCGGCGGGAGAGTCGCGCGGCGGGTCGCGCGGGCGGGTCGCGGGGCTCTGGTCGCAGGAGGACCGCGAGTGGGCTGCGGGCGGGTCGTGGGGCGGGTCGGGGGCGGGTCGCGGGGCGGGCGTGGGTCCCCCTTGAGGCGCTCTCTTGGACCGTCTTGGGGGGCGCTGCAGGCCGTCGGGAGGCAGTCTTGTGAAAGGGGCCCAGGGACACACACAACATATATATATATATATATATATATATATATATACACACACACAAATCCCAGGATTCCCCATATGTTTCCATAGTTTGGGGATTTTCGTTTTCCCCCCCACTTCCAATATTTTCGCAAATTTTCTTTCGCACAGTTTCTTGGGAAACGACAATTAACTGTGTCTGTGAGATTTTTCCCCTCCTGATCTTGGAGCGTCTTGAGGTTGTTGCGGGCCTCCCGGGGATGGTCGCGGCATGTGGTAGCGACCTTTCGGCCTCCCCGGGGCGTCTCGGCAGCCGTCTTGGGGCCCTCATGGGCCGTCTTGGGACCTCCTTGGAGGCCTCTCCGACTATCTTAGAGCGGTTTTGGAGGCCGCTTGGGCCGTCTGGGAGCGTCGGGATGCCGAAAGGCTGGAAACTTGGAAATCCGTCAGAAGCCTGCGAAAAAAAACAATGATGTTCGTCTCTTGGAGCCTTCCTGGGAGTCCTC